TGTAATATGTAAAGTTATATTTCGACCTAAATTATAATTGATAATCAAGTTACATTTTATTGTGATTCTATTGGTTAATTTACCTGGTGATTAATTTATTTAGTTAAAAATCTGATGAAATGAGAATCCTTGGTGACCGAATATTTGATTCAGGGAGGAAAAGTGATTTGGGATACTCCAGATTTTGGTTCTAGATATCAGATTTTAAGATACATGATATCATCTATTTGTACCCGTCGTGATTATTAGTGAATTATTATTCTTCTCATACGTGGAGACACGCAAGATTGAGCCAAGTTAAATTTTATCTTTTGCATATCTTATTTTACATTTATTATTTTTCGGTCTAAATTCCTAATGTAGTATAAATAACATGCACACCTCCCAAAAGAATCATATTTTTTCATCCTCTTTGGATCCATTATCCTGCCAGCCGATACACCGCATATCATCCTAATAAAATGAAATTATATCTTAATGCAAAACACACAAATGAACTAAATTATCTTCATTAAGATAACAGGGAGATTATAAATTTACTTACACGATATTCGAATAGATAATCGTGTGGATAAACGGTTAAGACGAGAGAATTTTAAATGGAACTTTATGACTGGAAATTCATCGTCCACGCTGCAACAACATAAAAAAAATCATATAAGATAATAGTAAAACTATTAAAGCATTATTATTTTTAAAAAAATAAATTTAAAACCATATCAGATGTAAATAAATAACTCGCAATTCTATATAACACCAAATTAAGTATGAATGATAATGCCTTACTTCTTCTCATACTTGAAGCAAGAAAATTGGCCGTCCACTTTTTCCATTTCCAATGACTTTCCGGAGGTAATCTACTTGACAAAGAACAATGTGATTAGTAATAGATAATCTAAAAATTTAACTAAATCGAATTCAACAAGCAGCTTCAGTAGTTTAAAGGAGCGTTATTTTCTTTTAAGGTTCTGAGTTTGAATAACTACATTTGCGGAATATGCTTACGTTGTCAATAGGTCAGAAAGAATTTGAACATATAGTTTATAATCATCGCAGACTATTAAAAAGAATTAAAGTAAATTTACGAACAATACTTGCCTTTTCGACTACTTGTTTATGAATTTTGGTGGGAAGATATGACAAAGTTGTGCCACTATCAATTATTGCTGCATTTTCATCAGCACTGCCGAAAAAACTTGTTGCAAGTTTTATTATGGTGTCTCCAATTTCTACTTCCTTTGTTGTAATTTTGTAATGCGACCTAAGAATTTTTTTTTCATAAAGTAGAGTTCAATTTTCATAAAAAAATTATAATTTATAAAAATTTTATCAACGATGATTATTGATGTTGTGATAGAGAGGACTTACTGTTTTCGGATCATACGTGTTTTATTCATGTGTGGTGCATTGACTTCACCAATTGCAAAGATTCCACCTCCCTCCACATTATCCAAACAATGTGCAAATCTGTTTTTCACTTTTCCATCTGCAGCTAACTGTGAAATCACAGATGAATTTGCTTGTCCGAATCCAATGATTCCATTCACTGCTTCACTTGATGTACTTAAGTCCCCGGATCGCTTAGAACCGCACCTAATACGAAAAACGGTTATGAACAAATACTATTTTAGAATCATCTCATACTATTAAAAAAAACTAACCCGAAAACGATACTCCCATTTGTAGGAGCAGTTTGAAGGTTTCCAGTGACCTGTTGAAGCTGAATGGTATCCTTGACGAAGTATCCACCATTTCCGGTCCCATCACCATAAACAATATAATATTCACATTGTCTATTATTCTTACAATTTTCCAGTTTCCCGTCATGTGCTGCTGAGCAGAACTCATCTCCGCAATAAACCAATTTTGAACTTGTTGACTTTTTTGGATCATATAGTTTTTGTTCTATCTGCAATCTCAAATATTAGTTTCTCAACCAAAAATGTTTATATATAAACAAGGGTAAATTACTCAAATGACTATTTAATTATAGGGTTGATGACAATATGACCATCATACTTTTAATTTTGGCCATATGACCGCATGACTATTTAAGTGATTTTAATGTAACAACCTGCCGTTATAATACAAACGGCGTAGCTGATGTGGACCTCTGAATCAAAATTAGTTAATAATAGTCACATCAGCTACGTGGTTTGTTTTGTAACGACAAGTGACTATATTGAAATCACTTAAATAGTTATGTATATTGTCAAAATTGAAGTATGATGATCATATTAACACCAGTCCTATAATTAAGTATTCATTTGAGTAGTTTACCTTATAAAAAAAAAGATTAATACATGAAAGGAACATACACCAAGACTACTCTCTTTGGGGCACTTATCACAGCCAACACAATTCAACCACAGAATGTCACTTCCGGTGTCAACTTGCACATGATATTCTTCTGCCGGATTTCCTATCACCAGTTTTGCAAAATAGAGCCTGAAAATTATTTTTGAAGTTCAGTTACCAGCACCCCATTAATGGCGAAAACACAAGCTAATCCGAGAATGCGACCGCAACTGCAGTCTAAATCCCTGATGAACATAATTCAAGAGAAGAAACTAACCCAGCTCCGGTGGGGGTGACCGTCACCGCCTAAAGGGATATCAATGTCAACAGTAGAGAGAAGTCTAGCATGACGATGTATATCATGAGCTTTCATAGCACTCAAAATTTCTTTCCTGGCCTGCAAATTTATGTTTTACATTCAAAGTGATAACATTTCCAACGTTGCAGCTAAATTCGTTCATTAGCATCACAACGGTCAAAGTCAGTCTCCATAGATCCATTATCACGAATAATAAATAATAATTTCTTCTCTCTGCCTCTCAAGCTTTCAATTTTCTTCTCCCCCTTTTGATTTTATTTGAAAAAAAAATCAAAGAGGAGACAGAGAGGAGGAATGTGAGGCAAAGGAGAAAAGCCTTGAAGAAGGAAAAAATAGAGAAAAAAGCGTTTTCAACGGCGAATTACATGCCCTATTTGTGTATAAATTATGCTTTTTTTAGCAGGCTAAAACAACGTTGGCGGTTTTTCTTGTTTTGTCATCTATGCTAAATTGAAGCGCTTGATTCAATTGGGGTCGTATTCTTGTTAGACGTGTACTAATTTATTTGTTTCAATGAGTGAATCAAATTAATATTAATTAGATTAGGGATCTTGGTTTTTGAAAAAAAACTTCTAATGCAATATTTTTATTTTTTAAATGTTTAACGCGTTATATATAAATTTTGAGTTAATCGTGTGAACAACTTATAGAGCAAGTGGTTAAAAGTTTTAAGTCGACACTTCTCTCCTTTTAAGTTGTGCGTTCAATAATTTATTATGAGCAAAAATTGGATTATTCAAAAATTTAAAGACCAATTTGAAATAAAAATTATAATTTCGAGACATATAAACAATTAACTCTTAAATTTTACTTTTGTGTTCTACTTTGCTTCCAAGGGTCGGTTTGGGAATGATTTTGAGAATGAAAAAGTGATTTTCAACCCGTAAGCAACGCTAAATACCCAAAGATTGGTTTAAAATTATGGTTGAAAAAGTAATTTTCAACTAACCTCAAAAGTTTAAATTTATAACTTTTGTTGTGGAAAATCACTTTTGGGATAAAATTATATTTTTATCATCAATTACTTAATTTTAATTAGTTTTTAGATTAATACACGTGCATGTATAATTAGTTTTAATCAATGTTGAAATTGATTGTTAGACATAAATCAATAGAGCTTAAAAAAATTACCGAGTATATATATATATATTAAATAAGTATTTAAATTATTATTTCGTAATAATATAATATATTTTTTAGTAAATATTTCATATATAAAAATATTATTAGTAAATTATTATAAAATATTTTATATATTTTTATTATAGTTTAAGTTGATATATTTCAAGTATCATAGTATTAATAAGTGTAAGTATAATTTAAATATTATATTTTCAATTTACAATAAATATAAAAAATTGACATTTTATCATTAAATTAATTTTTTAATCATAATCAGTTAAATTTTAAAATACACTTTTTAAAAACAAGTATATTTTTACAGCACTTTTTAAATAAGTTTTTAAAAGTAATATCAAACCAACCCTTAGACTAACGCTATTAATATCTGACATTGACATGGCAAGCGGGTCAATCATATAATGTCATGTGATAATTTTTCTGAAAAAAACAACAATTAATTAATTAAATTATTTTTAGTAAGTAAAAACTTTATAAGTCATTAAGGATTCAATTTTTTCAATACTTGTTATCGACTAATTTTTTTAATATCTATTATTAAAGGTGTACATTTAAAATTTAATTTTTTCCAGATATTTATTATTATTATGAGTTCAATTTTTTTTATTAAAGTCTAATTTTCTTTCAATGTTTATTATAAGCATACTCTTAAACTTTACTTTTTCTAATATTTATTATTAAAAATTTATTTTTCTTAATCCTTATTATTACGAAACTACCCTTAGAATCTTTTTCTCAACAACTTATTATTAGAAACAATTATTTAAATAAAAGTTTACAACCATCTAACGATGTAATAATAACGACATCGTCTAAAATTACAATATCTACAACCTTATATCCACAATTGTGTATACTACTAAAATTCATAACCACAATTCTTGTGATATCATAAATTATATCTACAATAATTGGTAAACACAACACAACGAAGATACAAATATAGATTATAACTTAAATCTTTGATTAAAGACCTAATTTTTCAATTCGTTCGAGTGCCACTAAAATTTTCGGAAACAATTCGTTCAAGTGCCACTAAAATTTCGGAAACAGGCCTGATGGATTAACAATGTGGATTTGGTGTTCACAAAGTGCAAAGTAAAATTTTATTTTTCCTTGATATAACCTTCTTCAAAATCGGATCAGGGACATATACATTGATTATATAATCATTCGACAAGTCGAGTAATGAGCATACACGCCATATTTATTAGAAGGTCTCTGACAGCAAGAAAAGGATCTGTATGAATTTTGTGCTTTGGTTTTATTTGCAGTCATGAAAGATACGAAGACATACACTTTAATGGTAACAAGTTCTATCAATTCCATATATTTGATGCTTAAAAGTTTCTAGTTTGAAGAAGCATCGACCACTTTCAAAGTCTTCGTATGCTTCTTCACCTTCTGCTCAACCCCTAACCATTTTCGAATAAGTTCAAATACAGTTTGGTCACGTAAAAGTCCGCGATGACTGCTAGCTACTCCTACTCTCTCAACTGCTGCAAATCCATCCGCCTGAGTGATTGGAACGTTGGATAAGAGATAACGCAGGAGAAAACAATTTTCATTCACTATATCATAACATTGGCATGTCCAAGTTTCTGTTACTATATCCAACGAAATTGCTGATAGGTTAAGAAAATTGGAGGGTTTAATTCGTTGGGTAGCTAGGCCAGTAAATGTAGAGGCAGACAGTTTAGCAAAGTCTGGTATTTGCTAAGATTGGGAGTTACTGATTGAGCTGTTTTTCATTTTGGTTTTCGGGTTTTCTTTTGTAGGGGGTGACCTTGGTTGTATTCACATACTATGTACTAATCTTTTATTAATAAAATTTGAGGCACTCTTTTCTTCCTTCCACCACTTTTTTATAAAAAAAAAAAAACATTGGCTAGTTGAGTCTCAGATTATAGGATATTGTTTTGTCGAGTCTTTGACCATTAAAGTTACAAAATATTCTCCCGACTATAAGGAGTTACTTTATTGAATCCCTCAACTATTAAAAGTTACAAAATGATCATCCGACTATTCATTATGTTTCAAACTCGTCCATTACCGTTAAAAAATTAACGGTCGTCTGAACTGGACGTTAACATGCTGACCGAGATATGATAATCGCTTGAAATTATGAGATCAAATTTTATCATATTTCAGTCAATAGGTAATTATCCAATTCAGACAGTCGTTAATTTTTTAACGAAAATGGACAAATTTGAAACATAATAAATAATCAGGTGACCATTTTGTAACTTTTAATAGTCGAGAGAGTCAACAAAACAACCTTATGATTCAAACATTTTCCCATATGATTCCAAGGACCATCACAAACTTTATATATAAATAAGTTCAGGTAAATATAAGAATCTAAAGAACAGTCAGAGCATACCATTGCAGATTCTGCAGGAACAGTTCCATCTCCATCCACATAAGTATATTGAGGCTGGAAAAAACAAGTACAGCAACAGTAAGGATAAAAGGATGTTGCTCTAGATTTGATGAATAATGAGCAAACTTAAAGGAAAGTTGAGTTCAAAAGAGTAAAGCAGCACTTAAATCATGAGATGAACATTAGTGCATATGACTAAAATCGAATTTATGACCATAAACATAACACACAACTCACCATCGTATGACATATTTCTGAGAGGTCCGCTATTGGTGAAGTTTTTGTACCATAACTGTGCATATAAATGCCATACATGGTAAAAGCTGGTCTTTAGAATTGATATTAAAGCAAATTTAATTTCAGAAGCCATTTTCAGAGAGAAATGGAGCCTAAATGAAATCATTCATAATAAATGACAAAGTAATTCAGAGTCACGTACCAAACGTTAAAAGGCGTGGCAAACGATGTCCCATAAATGTTATAGAAGCAGATCCCACTTGGTAGTTTAGCATTGTTGATAAGCTTGCGTGTTCCAACAGCCCAATTGAGAATAGAGAAGTTGAAAGGTACAGCTATTTTGTTCCACCATAATCTAACTGCAACAGAGCCAAAAAAATATGCCAGAAATAAGTAAAATAGAACAAACGATCCTCAACAATGACAGAACGGTGTTTGACAGAGCAACAAGTAGAAATATGTAAGAAAGTAGAACAAATAGTGTATGCATGTTACAAGAGAGGGAAGAAACACCCTACTTAGAGAGGTGGCAGCAAGAAGAAAACACCAAAAAGTAACATGCGACTCGTCGTAACTGACAAACAGATCAGCTAAAAAAGGAGCAACCACCATACGCAATTTCAATGAAAGCTTTGATTTGTCAGTTTGGCCATGGATTCATACGGCAGGAACATAAAATAGCTAAATATTTCAGGATTGGTACTACTTCAAACTCACTTCTCATTTCACGGTATGGAGACGAAATACAATTTATTTGGTCTCTAGAACACGTTAATAGTTTTCTTCCTTCGTTACTATTCCATTAATCAAGTTCTCATTTCTAGTAAATAAGTGTCACCAGGATGTTACATTGTGTTTCGACTGAGAAAAACAGAGGAAGACTTTAATGATTTTGAACAATAAAAGGTTAAAATGCTAACTATTAATTTTGTTTCCTTTCATTTATCTTACTCGGTTAGCATTTTAACTTTCTATAGGATTTAGTGTAAATCTTAACTCAGTTCCCAAAGGCATCCTAAATAAAAAATGAACTTGGCTAAACTAAAATCTATAGGATGTCCAATTTAATGATAAGTCTTTGACAAGAGATCATAACCCAATACAAAATATTTCCAACATTCAGGTACAATTTTCCTTTCTAGTATGTAAACCCTTGAAAGAAAAAAAAATATATATATATATATACTTGTCAAAGACTCACAGATCTCTGCACATCAGTTATGACAGTGAAATTATTCATACTCAGTAATCACTTGCCATACTAAGTTTCAAACTTTTGAAAACAAAAATAAACAAGCGCAGACTGTGAAACAAAAATAACGCAATGAAAAAAGGTTCACCACCTTCACTTCAAGAATTTAAAGTGTTCTCAAGCTATATTGAAAAAGAAGTTAATCACCTCATTATGCCTTAATGCTTCTTTGAATAAACTGATGCTTTCAGTTGGGCTGTAGGACTCCAGTTTCACAGAAGTTTCTCCATCTTCAGAATACTCTCGCCAGACATTAATTTGTGGTTGCATTTTCCAACTAAAATATGGATTTGGCAACATCTCGTATACTGATGGGCACTCTACCAACTACACAAGAAATAATGAACATAAATATAAAGCCAGATAAATATATAAAGTTGTATTTCATCCAGTGTCGTCTACAAAGCATGTAAATTTGTCAACCAAAAGTCCAAGAAATGTTGACAAAGGACCCACACAAACATTGCATACCAAATGCAAAGGGAGACATGCATTCATCTCAATAAAAATACTTCAAGGACTATGTAATAGAAAATTTTAATCTCAATTCAAAGGACATATTTACTTTTATTAGTTCCCTTGATTTTTGTGAAGACTACACTATAGTCGTATGAAGTCTTTACGAGTCTGTAATTAAGTTTTTTATTATTATTTAATTTGTACTCTATATCTTATATATGTAGAAGATTAGAATGTTGACCGGATAAATTAACTCCTAATAAGACTTCAAGTTAATATCTTAGGGTATCATTGTATTTCTGTTGTAATCTGCCTATTTTAATAGGCCTTACCCTGTGTATTCAAAAGTAGAAGAATTAGAGAAAAGACTTCGCTGACTCAGAAATTCCTTCATTTATTTCAAAATTTCTACATGGTATCAGGCTAGGTTAATTCAAAATCTACTCAACGATGAATCCATCAACTCCTCATCGGAAGTTATTCGGGATCTGAACAAATTCCCTCCCAAAACACCATTGTCAATATCCATCAACCTACATGGTATCACATGCCACAAACTAAATGGCCACAATCACCTTTCCTTGGTATAATCAGATGTTATAAATATCAAGCAGATGTAAAGATCACTATTTATCAACAAGACTCAAAATGTGGGCGATAAGACTCAAAATCTAAAGAAATGTGGGAAAATTGGGGACAGTTTTTCTTTTTAAAATAGAAAGAGAAGGGTGAATGTAGAGACAATATTCTTTAAAAGAGTAATGGTAACATCACAGTCAACTGATTCAGGTGTTCGGGTATCAAGAATGTAGAGACCATTAAACGTAAGTCCCTTACCAATAATCTTCTTCATTATGAGAAAAATCAAACATTAACCAGGAAATGATGAGACACAATAACCAAGGTCATTTGTAAGTTCTCTACTAGAAATTAAATTGAAGATAATTATGGTAAACTCAGAGCAGATGATAAATGACGGGATGAAGTAAGAAGAGTGGTTTTAGACCCAATAACACTGGATGATAACACATCAGCTACTATTAGGTGATAGATTGATGTGGATGAAATTACAAATTAAACTATTATGATTACCTGTCATATGATCTATAGCACCAAAATCAACGACCCATTTTGAAGAAGTGAAAACAAGACATATTAGGTTTACATGATTAAATAAGAGCACAAATAGGATCAGATGTATGTTCATTATTTTTGAGTGGAATCAATTTGGCATACTCATCAAATTAGCCACAAAATAGTCGAAACTTGTCGTAGCCATGTACCACATCAAACTCAATGTCGACACAACATAAGCAAAAAAACAAACTTGTATATATAACAACCAAATCATGCAGTCAAAGGTACCGAACTAGGACCAAACTTGTATCGAAGCAGCAGCTCCACAAAATATGTAACCAAACAATACCAAAAAAGGAAATTTGCACCAAACAAGAACTGCAAGCAAGAATCAACCATAGGGGTGTGGTCGGAATCATTGCCAGCGTCGAAGGAATAAAACGACGCCGGAAAACTCTCCCACATGCTCTAACGTGTCAGTGCATGGTTACAAGGATCTTGTTGCAAATCATGTGGCTCACACATTGGGATTTTGACGAGCAGAATCTAGAATCTGATCAATCAGTGCACAATCCTTGGGGTGACAGTGTCAAAAGAAAACCTCTCATGCCAGCCTTTTGAAATTCAGCAGTAAACCCTCACCCAAAATCTCAAAACTTTGTTGTGATGAACGAAGAAAAAAACCTCAAAGTACTTTAGATATCTGATGCCATGTAAAATAGTAGGAAGAGAATGTTTTCTTGTGTCCTATTTATCAATATTATGGGTATATATATATATAAGTATAAAGGTCCTATAATATGTAAAGTAATATCCTACATTAAACACAAGATTTGTCAACCATTAGATTTAGCCTATATATTTGTTAGTCTTTAAGGCAGACATTGAACTCTTAGGAAATAGGATCATTATTTTGATACTTAAGGTTGTCAACAATTGAACCCTTATCATGGGAACTAAAGGTTAATAGTTTATCAATAGACCACTCTGTTGTTTGGCAATAGCTTCACAAATATGAACATCCTCAACTTAATTTATTAATGCAAAGAAATCACTAAGCACGACATTCGGTACTACCACATGCAAACAGAATATTCAGCAGCTACAAAGGCATCCACCTCCAATACTTTTAAGATAACTTCTTTCTTGAAAATCAAATACCAATTAGTCCAACAAATAGAAAAACAACTCTGAATATAGAAATTACCAGTTGGTGCATCGTCCATCTTGATACAAAGAAATAGGCTTCAAACCCTTCAACAAACTGCAATCCAGTTAAGAGAGCATCATTGATGCATCCTGGAGCACCTGTAAGCATTTTTCAGAATTTATAAAAACCCACTGGATATTAAAGGTGAGATGAAAAAAAGATAAGGGAAATTTACAAACTCTAGTAATTTCCATTTTTAGAGTTCAAGTTGTTCAAACTTAAGGCATCTTTTGAGCATTATTCAGAATTCATAAAAATTCATTGGATATTAAAGGTAGCAATGGAAAAAGATGAGGGAAATTTACAAACTTTAGAAATCGTTGTACAATCATTCAAGTTGTCAAAAGACATCCCATGATCACTAGCCATGTCACTAAACAAGTTGAGATACAGTCTCCTTGATATACCATCACATGAAAACAAGAAAAAAGAGGAAAATGATTATCTAGTTCAACCAAACTAGTTTTGGACCAGCAGTTAGTTACATCAAGCAAATGCACCAATTCAAACATGTAGCCTTGAATAAGGGAATTCTAAATACCATTAGGCCGAACAGAAAACTGCATAGAAAGGAGAAAGATAGAGGTTCTAGCTAACAAAAATGTAAGACAAGATGAAACAAGAATAATATCATTACTTCCTCCATTAGCAACCATTTCTGAAACAGTAGTATGTTATTCAGCCATCTTACTTTATAGATGTAGATGAAGTTTAGAAAATTAAGAGGCGTGCCATAGAGTTCTGTGATCAAATTACAGCAGTTTGAGAGAAAAATGGAAACATGGATTATTCAATTAGTGCAAAGTGAAAGCCAAGAAAATAAGGATAGCGAAAGCTTCTCATAAAAGATATATAGGGAAGCTATTTAAGATTATTCAGTCAAAATACCCATATAAGGAGAAGTTACTTGGAAGAACCATAAAGAACCGTTTGAAAGGAGAAAGAAGTTGAAAATGAATAGCATAGTTATGTATGACTTGGAAATGTATAGATATTTTGAGTTATATTCTGAAAATGAATTATCGAAGGGAAGCTGACACATATGCGCCGGCATTTTTATGTGCCCAGCACCACATGTCATTATTTTGTTTGGTAGAAAGAAGCTGACAAAGAGAATATTAAAATCTCCTTCACTATCCCTTTAATGAAATTACAATAAATTAATTTACATCATTTAATAAAGGTTTATATCTCAAGTCCTTCTCCTTCATGGGACATATTCTAATAATTTTTCTCTGCAACAGCAGTAAATTATTCATGCTAATAAGAAGTGCAAATGCATAAAATTAGCATACAAAACTAGAAACAAAATGAGCATTCAATATTACCAGACAACATCCTAGGCCTTTTCATTATGATCTTGGAAGCTTTTATATATATATATATATATATATATATTGAATTTGTAACTTTAGAAAACCCTTGATGCTGGCAAACCTCCCTTAAATAAATTTGACATGATCTATAATTATTGAAATCCAAAATAACCTCTAAATAATGGTTGACAAGGAAGTTGTGATTTTCATATCTTTAGGGAAGCAAGCATTTTCTGAAGAATATGTAGTAGACATGTGCAAATTTATTTGATGACTCGTGTCCAACATAGATGCTGTTAATTCCACTAAAAAGAGCTACAAAGTGTATATTCCTAAACTTAAACATTTGACAAGATCAAAACTTACCTTGAAAAGGGCATGCAATGGTAATCCACTTATTTACATACTTGGAAAATACCTGCCAATAAACAATGGTTTATCACCACTATCAAAGAAATGGATGCAAGGAGTCCTCCATTGAATAATATCAACTTCAAAGGGTAATATGTAATTTATAAACTATTGTCAAATTTTCAATTAGTGACAATAAAAAAAACCTGCTTACTTCATTATGAAGTGATATGAAACACATCACCAGCAGTCCTCCCATCGAATGTGAGATAATATTAACTTTTCTGCCTCCAGAAGCCTTGTATGCAGTTTCCAACTTAGCTTTAAGACCTTTCATTAACTTGTCAATCCTAACAACCATATAACATACATCTATGAAACTGATATCTGTGCGGACTAAAATAAAGGAATTTCAAGTAATTTTAAGGCATGATCAATACTTAAACAAAACTAGATACAGAGTCAAATATAACCGAAAGTCTCAACCTCAACCACCAAATGTATAGCAGTTGAAAATGATTTACCTATTGCTTTGCCGGAAATCATAACCATATCCAAACAATGTGGTTCCTTTCTTATACCCATCCAACTAGCATATCAATCATATCATGAAAATGATAGACCTCGGTGCTACGTAAAGTTTTATCACCTGGAGGATCATAGATGTAAGTTTTATCACCTTAGTCTGATACTTTTGATTTAAAAATAATAAAATGCAACGAAACAATTACAATTAATAAAGGAATAAATTATTTAATCAAATTTCTGAGCAAGGAAATGTAGTACAAAAGAAAGGAAAAACTCCTTTTACCAAAGAAGGATCTAATATCAATTGCATATAGTCCATGATCATCATTGGGGACCAAAATCTCAACGTCATCATCCAATGATTCAGTATAGCCTGAAAATAACAAATGCATTAGCTTTGACACAAGTGCTTTTATGCCATAGAGAAGCTTCATATAGACAAACCCTAAACTAAAAATAATAAAACAACAATAATAGTGGTTAAACTGATACAATATTGAAATTAAAATTTATGTCAATTGGAATAAAGAATTATTCATTAATATTGTACAAAAGAAGTACCACAAAGAACATTATGGAAGAGAGTGACAAGTAATATCATGACTAAGACTTTCTATTGTGAACAACCATGATATGAACTAATAATTTACCACTGGGAACAAAAATAATATAAACAGGTTTATCAGTTGGTCTTTTTGGTTACTGGTTTGTAGGAAGCAGTCTACTTTCTACATGAAAGAGTCATTTTAGAGGCTTCAGCTACTGTAGGTTCCAAGGTTTTGATCTCATGAAAGGTCCTATAGCTTATACAGATATCAACTCCAATAAAAATATCTCAACAAAATAAATCAGGTTTGGTTTTATTAATTATTTTATAAATTATTTCCAAGTTCATAACTTAAAATTGTACTGCACAGCATAAATTCAGGACTACTTTGCTGGTGAAATATCAAGTTCAGGCAATATACAAGATATTGAGAATGGAACTTTCCCTCCAAGAGGAGACATAAAAACAAGTTCAGCATTTAGATCTTTAGATACAAAGCAAACTTTAGAATTCACAATAATAGTAATAAAATTATACTGGTAATTGACAGTTTCATATCTAAGCACTTGATCTCTTATATAAACTCATGGTTTAGTGAAAATATAAGTGTCCAAACTATGCTTGAAGTTAACTTTAAGTGCTAAAATTTTTTGCTAAAAACCCATTATCTGACAAGTGTGAGGTTATATTTAAAAAAAAATACAGACCACTATAGAAAGAAAAAAGAAAAATAAAAAGTAAAGTAAAAGATGGATAAAAATGTCCACACAGAATCAAGAGCAGAATTTTTTTTTTGATTCAGCTAAGGTTGTTTTCCTCCCGACTTGTTCAGTCAAACAAAGTCAGCATAAATATGTCGTACTTAAACTTCAACCCCCCATGTATTTTCCACTAAAAACAAAAAACACTATTCATTAAAAACAACAAACTCAGTATTTGTACAAAACCCGAGTTTTATCCTCCCCCATTTTTCTATCCATGCCTTTTGTTTATCTAATTTCCGAAGAACCAAACAGGAAATAGAACTCCAAAATAAGTATATAAAATCTAAAACCCGACAAGGAACAAAGATTTGTTCTACGTTAAAAACATGCAAGCAAACTAAAAGCAAAGCAAGAGTACCTGTTTTGGATTATAAATAGACCAGAGTTTCTTCCTGAACTCCAAATCAGAAAAGAGGATTCGAACCCAAACCGGGTCTCGACACTGATTCCAAACAACTTCTTTTTGGAATGGAGAATGGATCCTCCCATTCCGGAGACAAGCAGGACCGGATCCCGATCCGCCTCGGTATTGCCGGAGCTTTGGGACCCGAAACATGGGCACAAACATAGGTCACTCAGCATCACCGCCTTTTATATTGTATTGAATTCCAAATAAACTTCTGGGGTTGGACTTGAGAGAGAAAATGGTTGAGTACGGTGGCACATGGAATCGAGAGGTGGAAAGTTTTATCTGGAAACATTAAATAGAGACGATATAGTCAAAAGTAGATTAGATTTTTGGCACTTTTACATCTGTTGGTCCTTTTAAGTTTACTTAATTCTTATTATTTCCCAACCTTTTTGTTTCTTTCTGCATTTGATACCACTTAATTTTCTGTATTAGTATACTTGGAAAAGTTAAAGATTTCATCTTATCAATGGCATTTTTCCCGAAAAATCATTGATGATCGGTATATTTACCGATCTAACACCGATCAGATTATATTTCCTGATCTAACACCCGTAGCAGTAAAGCGTGTCCCCTGCCCCGTGCTATATGTTGATTTGGCGCCACGTGTGGTATAGCGCGCCCCCTGCACCTCGCTATATACTGACATGGGTTACACGTGGGTATAGTGCGGCCCATGATCCGTGCTATACGCCATGTAGGGGTATAGCGCGGATCAGGAGCCGCGCTATACCTGGTTATCTGATACGTGGGGTATAACGCGGTACAGGGGGCGCGCTATACGTTTAATTACCCACCCGTCCACACCCCAATCCTCCCTATAAATACCCTCATCCTCAATCACTTTTATCACACCAAATTCTCTCAAATTCTCTCTCTGTTTATGGTATATTTTATAATATTTTTAATATTGTGTATTTTTTTTTAAGTATTTTACTTTATTAATATTTTACTAATATAATTCTTTTGCAGATATATAATGAAAGACAATCTACTTCGCTTGGATGAAAATCATATATCTCGACACTTTGCTGATACGGTAACATTTTAACATTTTAATTTAATTTAAATTATTAGTAATAATTAGTTGATTTATTTAATGCATGATTATTAGATTAAGAATTAATTTTTGTAATTATTTATTTTTAGGAGAAGGACTGTGTATTAGATCCTTTTATTAGGAATCTTAAGTTAGTGATACCTAGCCGTGTCTTGCCCTATTTAGTAGAGGCTGGATTTGGTTACATAGGTAGATATCAGGGTTACTGTAAGATATAACCAGACCTTATTTCTGTCTTAGTAGAGCGGTGGAGGCCGGAGACCCACACATTCCATCTTCCGTGCGGAGAGTGCACGATCACGCTTGAGGATGTTTCTATGCACCTGGGGCTTCCGGTGGATGGAGATGTGATATCAGGGATAGCTTCCGGTTCTTGGACTACTTTGTGTCGTGATAATCTAAGACGAGTCCCGTAAAGTTTTATCGGAGATAGGATACCATTAAATTGGTTAGATGCCAATTTTCGGGAGTTGAACGCAGACGCCTCTGAGGATAAGGTTAAGATATATGCACGGGCATGCATATTGCAGTTGATAGGAGGGTTGCTGATGGCGGAAAAATTGCGCAACCTAGTTCACTGCATGTGGTTGCGACATCTTAGCGACTTTCGTCTCGCCAGATCATTCAGTTGGGGCTCGACAGTTTTGGATTTGCTGTACAGGGAGATGTGTGGAGCCACTGACTACAGGCGTAATGCTATCGGCGGATGTCTCATGCTGCTGCAGTCTTGGGCATGGTATCGATTGCCCTTTTTATGTCCCATTGTGAAGAACCCATTCGTATTTCCACTACTTCTGAGGTAATTATAAAACTGATTTTGTATATTAATAATTTTATACAGCGTATAATAAATTTTTTCCCTTGAACAGGTGGTCTACTGATAGGAAAAATCATCAGGAGCTACATGATGATTTAGAAAAAATTAGGGTGTTAATCGATCAGAAGGCTGGCACACATGTATGAATTTTAATGTTTAAAAATCGATTTTAGATTATAGTTATATAATTAGATTATTATTTTGATAAAAATTATATATTATTTGTTTTAGTTTGAATGGGTGCCATATTCTACTGATGATGTGAGGGCGGTGATCACACCTATGTTGAGGGGTCCATCAGATGTTTGGATGGGGATGATCCCTCTGATTTGTTATGTGACCGTCGAGTGGCACTCCACTGATCGCGTGCTCCGGCAGTTTGGTTGTTTTCAACCAATTCTGGAAGCACCTCGCAATATGGACGAGTTGCATAGCTTAGATAGACGCGGCAAGACAGATACAGATTGGCTGGTGAGGCATCATGAGTGGGTCGTGTTGTGGGATGATCGACATCGGGGCTTTCCCTTAGAGAGCCCATTTTTTATGACCTCTTGATGTATGCTGACGGTTATTATGAGTGGTTCAACAGTAACGGGAAACTGTTTCTGCTTCCCGAGGATGCACGAGGGCATACCTTTCCGCGACGTCGACAGAGACATGATCCAACACAGCACCATCGTCCCCCGACTCGTGGACGGAGAGCAGGTGCTTCCGATTCATCCTCAGCTGCACCAGCAGGACCTTCACAGTAGCCACCACAACCATTTATGATGTAACATCCTCAATACCGGGTTAGTGATCAAATTGTAAAGTTTCAGAATTTGATGACTAAAGTAGAAGAATGAAATAGTTCAATGCTTATTGGATATATATGATGAAGGTTAATTAGTAATTATTAAAGGAAATTAAGGGTTAAATGGTCATTTGACCAGAAAGATTTTTATATTTCTTTTTAAGGTAATATAAACGTGGGAATTTGGAGAAACATCCAGAGTTCTCTTCTCCTTTCTTCTTCTTCATACGTGGGAGAGCAAGGCAAAGGTGAGAGTTTTATTAGTTGATTATTATTTGAATTTTAAGTTTGGTTTTGATTCTTTGGGTATTAAATAAGCTTAAGGAAAGCTTATATGTGATTTAAACAATAAGATAAAGGAATTATGAAGGAATTTGCAATATGAGTTTTAAGATGAAATTTTGATATGGTATGGTTGTTGAAGTTTTATGGATGAATTTAACTTGTCATCAATCTAATTAAGAAGTATGAAGTGTTAGAATGGGAATTAGAACACATTGAAATTTTGGTATGATTTTTGAATCTTATATGGATGATAGGATTTTGAGGTTTAAGATGAAATAAATGAATATAGATTGGTTTAAGTATGTGTACTAGAGTTAAGAATGAAAAGGGGATATATGAAGTGTTTGAGTGGAAATGAAGTAATTTTCGGGTTGAAAATATGATTTCTGGGCAAGGGGAATCGGTACCCATTCAAGGGGAACCGATACCCCTTCAAACGAACAACATTTCCAGAATGTCATTAGGGAATCGATACCCCCTTAGTAGGGAACCGATTCCCCCTAAAGGAAAAATGTGCATATTGGTTTAATAAGTTCGTTTAAGTTGCTAGTATCCAATTACAAGGTGTAGGTATCTAATGATTGTCTTAAAATGTATAATTATGTAGATTCAGAGCCTAACCAAGTTCCGGAATCATTGACAAGTAGATCGATCAAGGGGAAAGATAAGAGATTGGAATTGACTAGTGAGGCCAGGTGAGTGCATATTCAATAGTATATGATGTGCGATGGAAATAAGACTTGCGATGAGTCTATTTCCTGAAGTGTTACACATGAATTCATGATTAAAGGCATGCGTTGAATATGCATGTATGTATGCTTGATTATATGAATTGATATGTTCTTTATGTGCTCTAAGTGATATGACTTATAGGTATTCTATTATAATGTTACATGATATGTTATGTATGTTAAATGGATTATGTGATGGTATAAGAAATGATATGAAATATATATGTGAAAACAAGTATGTTATGAGATAAGATCTATCTGATTACATGCAACATATGATATTAGATATATGTTTACACATACATGTGGTATGTGACAGAAAAGAAGGAACATGTGATTATGAGATCAATGATTACACGTACATGTGATACGTGACTGAAAAGAAAAGATATGTGTTTATAAGAGAAAGCATATGAATAAGTAATGTGAACTGTTATAAATGATAATGCCCATGTTATATGATATGAGAGCTAGGGGTATAGTTGGCATGCCAAGGGTCGAGGGTTTACCTATGTTCTTCGGGACATATGGACTGTTTACCTATGTTCTTCGGGACATATGGACTGTTTACCTATGTCCTTCGGGACATATGGACTGATTACCTAGGTTCTTCGGAATCTATTGACTGGTCCTTCGGGACATTGATCGAGCTGTGGTGACAGCATATGTGTGCACAACCTCAATGTACTCACATACCTTAAGTTCTCACTAGTGTACATGGGCTAATAAAGTGATTAAACAAGCATACTGAATGTGATATGTATACGATGGGTTTATAAGTGGTTTGAAATGTGTTACGTGAACCATATGATGTTGTGTGTGTACAGTGTTTGATTGAAAAGGTTAACAATAAAAGTATGTGATTACATGATAAACTGTTAATGATGAATTATGTGTATGTATGTATTTACTGTAATTAATCTGATATGATTTTATATGATACGAAGAATGCATGGAATTGGTATAACATGATAGAACATAACATGCATGTATTGATATATGTTATGAAGTGCATTATAAGTCGTTATGCCTCACTAAGTCTTCGACTTAGCGTGTGATTGTTTCACACGTAGGTTTCGAGAAGAGTAAAGAGTAATGCGGAGCAAGACAGGCCAGTTTTCCTTACCAAATGTCAGATCAGAAAATATATGTACTGTATATAGAGTGTAGTTGGCATGTAGTCTAAAGACATAAATTGTATGAACTCTGATATATATATTTTGTAAACGTTTTGAATAAGTTAAATGTTATCAAAGTTTTTAAATTACTCACTATTTTATACGAATAAATGTTTGAAAAGTCAATGTGACACTTCGGACTCGTATCCGGATCGGATACGGGTTGGGGGTGTTACATTTAATGATATCAGAGCTAAGGTTTAGCCGATTCTCGGCATAAACCGAAGTCCAAAGTGTCATAAAAGGTGTACATGCCAACATAGATTGAAAAATTTCTGATCTGATAGTGTAAGGAATATGTTGTCTTGCTAATAGAATAAGAATAGTTTAATACAGTAGAAATCCGATCGTGATAATTTTGAAGTAAGTGAAAG